ATAATCTATATCAATGGATCCTCAGCTAATTTATCAATTGATGGATTAAATATGATTTATTTATTTATTTAATTGGAGAGATTAAGTTTTAATTATGAGTTTGTTTGTTTGTTCAAGAGTACTATGCTTGACTTATATTATATTTTTGACCAATTACATCTCGAGTATATAGTTGTGTTTTTCTGTGAAACAAAGCGATTGAAAGCATATAGATTAGGTGTTTCATAAAAAATATGATTCATTAAGTGATTTCATTTACAAACCGGGGAAAGATATGTTTCTTGAGATGAAATGTTGCTGATTTCCAAAAAGACGTAAATAACCTTGGAAGATTTTAATTTACAAATAACTAATGCATATCTGGCCTCATATATATTACAAAAATCCGAACAATGATAATTACCTTCCTGACCTTCTCTCTTAAAAAATCAGACATGTTTAAGAATATTTTTTTATCCATAATTAAGTTACATTGAGCTTATAAAATTATTTAATTGTAGAGTATACTTCATCGCATCTATTACCAATAAGCGCATGGAGAACAAGGAGATGGAATAATTTCTACTCTACATAATGAAAGAAATTAACAAAATATATAATTGATTAAAACGAAATAAAAAAACAAAACATGGTATAATTAATCACCCCATGGAGGATTAAGTGTTTTATTTTTTATTTTAAATAAAATTACATAAAATAACATGCATGTTCCTACAAACTTGATCATTAGGGTTTTGGCATAAAACCCTTGTATCGATCCTCCCTCTTCAAGCTCTACAGCTTCAAAGTCAAATCCAGCGTCTCCGCATATGATCTCTTCCCATGGTTACCTCCGGAGGAGAACGGTCTCTCCAATTGTCGAAGAAACGGCCTGGTGCGATCAATACTGTGAGGCTCTCGTGTCACCTTGGGCTGTGTTGGCAAGGCAAAGGGAACATGTTGTGACCCAACTGTGTACTTGTTCCTAGCCAACGATGAACGTTGTGACTGTGGAGTTCTAATAATTGGCTGTGCCGAAGCAATATTTTGTGGGGTTCTGGGACTGAAGGCAGGGTTTCTCTCTGTCGAAGAAAGAAAATTATAGCGACTGTGGCCAAGGAACCCAGTTTGTGGCAAACGAGGAGTAGTAGAAGGACCAAAACTGAAAGTATTGACAAGAGGATCTGCACGGGATGAGGAAAAGCTTAGACCATTTTTCCATCTCGCAGTCTCGACATCCTCCACCATGTGAGATTCAATATGGTCTATGAGAGCTTGTACACTCGTAAACACACGGTCACATATTCGACAAGCGATTTGTGAAGGAAGCAACGGCCTTTTAGAACCAAGTGTGTTGCCATGCCTTAAGCTCCAACCAAATCCAGTCATATTCTCGACTATGACAGTGAAAAGACTTGATGCTTTGAAGAGACTTTGCAAAGGGGAGAGAGAGAATTCAGCACAAGTATATCTTGGATCCTAGGATTAATGCATGTATTTATAGGGAATTTGCTTCGGTACATTTATGGTAATACGATGAGCCGGCATGCCATTAATGTGTTTTGTATCTGCAAAAGCTATGTAGCATAGATTTTGAGTAAATTGATGCTAATTAACGTTTTCGACATCATAAAATACAAGGGAGGAGGGAGGGGGTTAATCAAGGAAGGGAATTAGTGAAAGTAGGAACGCTTAGAAGGGAGGATTGTGATTTTATTGAAGAAATCTATGTGCATAAGCTAAAAAGGGATCACGTACAATCCAGAGCATTAAAGAGAATTTATAAATCAGAATATATATTATATTTGCCTTTGTTGAAGATCTTCTATATATATAACACAAGGGAATATCGTTCTATCTGTTCATAGTATGAAAATGCACTAGAGTTCATTGTTTTCACTATTGTGTCTTCAGAGGAATTATTATTATTTTCTATTTTTGGTAAATTATTTCTTTTCTTTTAATTATTTTAAACAAAAAAGATTATCAAGATTTCATGAAGTTTTCATTTTTTCTTTAATTGTCGTCGTCATCTTTACTTTTTTTTGAAAATAACTAATGCCCAGAATCTACTCATAAGATATCCTTTCAAGAATGAAATCGAAACATTGATTTCATAATTAATTAGCATGAGAATTATAATAGAAGGGTGATTTTAGGCATTGCTGGCTCTGTAAGAACGTGTGTGTGTATGTATATTATATATATATATATACACAATTTGGGTCATTTATTCACTCCAGATAATGCTTACAATTATTGATTGCATTAATTAGCACAAAGAGCAATTAATATAGTAAGCACAGTTAATTAGATCTTGTAAACTTAATTCAATGCCAGTTCTGGCAGGGACTTCATGCAGATCATCTTAATTTTATAATCTGCGTAAGGCGATAATGAACGGCTTACCATTAAATTAGATTTCAATCAGGAAAACCGCTCTGTTTAATTAGTATATCAATCAAAATCATAGATTTTGATTTAATTTTTTACATTTCAATACCATCCTTTTCACGAGTGCCAATACAATATTTCTATCCAGATTTCACCCCTTTTTTTCTCATTTTCTATCCAGATCCCCTCGTAATTAATATGTGTCCAATAAAAAAATATTTTCAAATTAGATTAAATTTATTTATTTGGTTAAAATAAATTCAATTAAGTATATAAAATAAATACGGTTGTTTGGAAAAGCTTATTTCGCAGAGGATTAAGGTCACCTTTTGCTCTTATACATATATATACATATACATACATACATATATATACATATATATATATATATATAAGATTTTTTATATATTATATCGTTATACTATGGTAAGGTATTTGTCTTTCCATCCAAAATCATTAGATTAAAATATCCCATGTGCCGAGCATCCATGCTTCAAAACTTAATAAATGTGAAAATAAAAATAGGATCTAGAATAAAAAAAGAAAAAGAAAAATCCATAACTACATATGAAAATATGAGAATCCATAACTACGTATGAAAATATGAGAACTCTCTTAGGAAACTATGTTGTAATACACTATCATACAAAATCATTATATACCCTTAATTCAATATTATGTTGTAATACACTATCATACAAATGAGTGAATTCAACCCTACATTAAAATTCAACCCTACATTAAAAATGTTTGAGAACATGGTGCAAACCATGTTTTTTTAAAACATATTTTTTTTATATTTTAGATTTTTTTGATGAGTTGATTTTAAAAATAATTTTTTAAAAATAAAAAAATATTATTTTAATGTATTTTAGTACGAAAGTAATTTTTTAAAAATAAAAAAATACTATTTTGATGTATTTTAGTACGAAAGTTCTTTGAAAAGTATTCATAATTACACTCACAAACAACCAGTTGAAAGGACAATATTATTTCCTAAACATATGCTATAAAATATATTTTATAGGATGAATTCTGAAGTATAAATCAATCCCCTTTACATTATTTTATTATTTATACACCACATAAAATCCTATCTTAATTAGTACAATAAAATAAAATAAAATACTTAAATAACTTATAAATATAGTATTATATTGATACTTTATTTTGAATATCAAAACTCTAAAAAGGATTGAAAACAAGCCAATAAGAGGCATGAAGTGTTCGAATCCTAAAATAATTAAATTACAATGAAATAAAATAATTAAATTACATTGAAATAAAATAAATTGATTCCTAAGTTTTATAAGCTGTTTTTTTTGTTATTAGCTTACACTGTTTTATTTTTTACTCTTTTAGATAAACACTAATCCAGAACAACTTGAAAACTTTTCATGAACTATTTTACCTTGAAGGCAATACCTACTGTCAGTACTAATAAGTAAATTTAATTCTACCTCTAATTAAGAAAAAAACAATTACAAATATCGAAATGAAAATTATTCATAACTATAGACTAGTTTTTAGAATGAATCCGAAAATATATTTTAACCCTTTTTTTCTCTTATTTATGCACGACATAAACTATAAATAAGATAGAATGATATGTTGAAATTATTTTTAAACTATATAATAGTAACTTATTTTGACCATTAAAACTCTAAGAAAAACTTAAAAAATAAGTCAATAAGAAACAAAGTATTGAAATAAAAAAATAATTAAATTATACCGAAACTCATCGAATTAATAAAGTGAACCTTAGTTAGTTATATTTATAGAGTTATTGTCTTAAATATTGTCTTACTCTTTCAGGGAAAAACTAAGAAGATTTTCGTTTATGTATGTAATTTTCATTTATATTTATGTCACAAAAAATGATAAAAACAGAGCAATTTAAAATGATAAAAAAAGGTTCATAATAACACACACAAACCAACTATTATTTATTAATTATAAAAAAACTTAAAAATAAGATATTAAAATCCAGAAACTATTCAATATCATCAAAATCCATCAAATTGAGTTCTTAGTCAATTTTTATAGGCTACTTTCAGTTCGTTTATTTTTTATGATTGAAAAAAGTTGTTTAATTAAAAAAATATAAGAACATTAAATAAATCCCCCCAAAAGTTATTTTTGAGCAAATAATTTTCGTTTATTTTTTTTAGTTTTTATGAAAATAATTGGACAAGAATATTAAATATAAGAATATAACCCTGGTGGTCGAGCAAAGATGAAAGACAGAAGAAGGAAGCAGCAGATCCACACCATGAAATTTAAAAAAGAAAAAGATGAGGTTCATGTTAGGTGATTAACGACGTCATGTTAGAAAAACTAATATTAAATAAATCATATTTTTGCCCTTTTCAGAATGTACTTGAATGAAATCCCTTCATTTTGAACCCCAGTGGGAAATCTAACAAACATGACATAAACTCAAAAACATCATATTAAATCTTCGTTTAAATGCCCACCTTCTTTAATTTATAAAATTACGATTTTTGTGTATTTATTATTGCTACTTTATTTTGAACTGGAAAGTTTTAATGAGTTCAGCATCAGAAAATTAAAAAGAACTCACTTCCATTTTATTGCATTTTTCGCTCCATTGTTGAATCTACCTCTGCCTGAACCACAGCTAAAGATTATGTATATAGTAGTAGACAAGAGTTGAGAGGATGGCCGGAGTTCATACCAGTCTCTTAGCGGAAGTTGTAAGTTTTTTTTCGAGAAAAATTGAAGTATTTATTAGAGCTAAAAGCATCTCAAATATATAAACAATTCCTACCCTGAAATGATTCTTCTCTTTTAAGAATTGAGCCCGCTTGCCCTTGTATTGCCAATCCTCCAGAGAGATTGATACAAGACGAGTCCCAGTCTTCCAAGGAGAGGATTCCCTGATCTTTTGCTGTGATGGAAACCTAATGGTGGGTGTGAATATACAGTACCTGGCAACACCATTGGAGTCCCAACACTGACAGAAATACACAAGGGAATTTTGACCCCTTGCACAAGTAAATCTTCGTACCAGACAGATCCAGTGCTTATTTCCTCTTTCCTGTGCCAATAGACAGGAGTTCAAAGCTCCTAAGTGCATTGCCACGACCACCACTTGTGGCTGAAGCACGAGTAAAAGAAGATGATTTTGACTCAAACCCAGGTTGAACCCTTTGGGCTGTTGACAAGCGACCACTGCTTGAGACCAGCCGGCTTGACCGATTCTCACTAGGCTCGCCAGAAGAGCTTGGCCGGCTGCTTGACATAACAGCCCTCTTTGAAGTGCTTCCATTTCGAGATGATGAACGGGGCCTTTCTGAATCGGGATGCTGTAGAAAGAACGGGGATAGAAAAAAAGTAGCAGGCAGTTGAGAAGTGAAGCTAAAATCCAGGGCAAAAGGGCACCAACTCCACCAAAATTAAAAGGTACATAATTTCTCTTGCAATACTCACCACATCCTTGGATGATGGCGCATCACCTGAGGACCTGCGCCTGGACTGGTCGCTGTGCAAAGCATGTCCAGAGCTATTCCTTCGAGCAAATGCCTCAACTCCACCAGAGAATCTGTCTCGGACTTCCTGACCTACTGGATAAAAATAGAATTGTCTCAAACACGAGAAAGTAGCCCAGGAATCTCTTTTTGTCAAAAGTGAGGGGGCAACAGAATAGTACCATGAATGTCATGCTAAATATTAATATGTACTAGGGAATAGCAAAACAAGCAACAAATGAATTACCCGCCACCACTTCAGATATCATGTCCAGGCATTCACCAGCAGTTCACTTGATCAAAAAATTAAAGAAAAAAATTGTTTGTTAACTAAAAATCAGAACAGACCTGATGGTCGTCCCACTCTTTCTGCAGATGGCCCTGGGTATACAGCTGGTTTGCCACTTGGCTGTTAAAAGAAGACACGGAATCAAGAATAATCGGAGAGAGACTCGTTGAAAATATTTTTTCCTACTGAAATCAGTCACAAAAAAATTAAGGTATACTAACTCGTGATCTAGAACTTGAACCAATCTGCGGGTACTTCAATATGGTCCAGTCAAAAACATAATCAAACTGATACCCTGCAACAATTTAGAAGCCTATATTAGGTTCTAAAATTTGGCAGGACCCTAAACTAACAATTGAATTTAGAACCCCAGCAACATATTTAAAATAAAAATAACAATTGAATAGTAATTAAAAGCATCAAATATTCTGGAGCATGAACAAACCTTCTCGAATAAACAAGTCGCGGAAAAGTCTCTTCAGGTATGAATAATCAGGTTTGTCTTCAAACCGCAGTGAACGGCAATAATGAAAGTAAGATGTAAATTCTGAAGGATAATTCTTGCAAAGGACCTGCAAAGTAACCATTATACTTCATATTCCGCCAGCATGATAATCATTTAAAACATTTATTAAGGCAAACTAATTGTTTAAACACTAAACTGGTATCCTTGTACACCAGTAATTCTCCCCATTGTGGTTGTGCATCATATGCTACACATGAAAAACATGTGCTTGGTGCAAGCAGCTTGCAAAAGCAAATGATTGTACCTCTATAGGAACTAGCATCTTCTTTTCACTGATCTTGTCATATTTCTGCTTTTTATTACCAGCTTTCAAGCCCTGCCATGGAAGGCTGAACTAGAGAAATCACCAAAAGAAAAAGGATCAAACACATATTAAGATTTACAAATAGGAGGGTAAGGCAAGTCGAGTAAGTTCTTAACCTTCCCCTCAAAAAATACATAAGCACATAACCAAGGGATTCCAGATCATCTCTTCTGCTTTGTTCTGCAAGTAAGAATGGCATAATAATAAGATCAAATATAAAGATTTGAAAATGTGGTAGCAACATCCAATAGTCATCTTACAGTTACAATCAGTTCACTCACCAATTCCAAGATGAGTATTAACACTAGCATAGCGAGCCGTGCCTGTGAGATTCTTGTTTTCCCTGTAACAAAAACTTATTACATATATCATGATAGACAATGGAAAGAGGCTTGAAAAGGGGAGGAGGTGAGAATTCATAATTACATCAGTATACCAGAGAAAGATGTGCAAAAAAAATGCATAATAACATGTACGGATAAAAACATGATACATGGTGGCATTGAATGCTCCCAGGAAAACAGGCTTAAAGACATAAAAACAATAGCACGAGATAGTTGCCCAAGCAACTCTGCAAAAGTAAGCAACATTACCAACAGCAGCATTCTTAGCACTGCCCTTTTTTGAAGGGAAACATACCATGCAGAAGATTTCCCTGAGTTGCAGCTTTATACCTAGATAATAGAAGCAAGCTGAATATGCATGGACAACTAGGCTCTTGCCAGCAACATTAATCCTAGATTCAACTCACGAAACCAGTTTTTTTTTTTTATTGCATTGCTTATTTACCAAACTTGTCAGGCTTCCACTCACAAGTAGCTGGAATTTTATGATCGTACTTGTCAAACTCAACAACAACTGATCAAACAAAGTACACATGAACTGATTAGATTCACATGTACTCCATGAGAAACACAGTAAACTATTCATGTGTGATTCTCTGTTCCAAGATCTCCATTTTCTTCTCAGAGAAAAACAATAAATTGTAAGCTCCTTCCTAACAGACCTTTTTTTCATTTGAAATATAATAAAACATCTGATATACAAAAGTATGCTTGAACTGATAAGAAACACGGTAAACTATTCATATTTGATCCTGCTCTCAATTCAAAGTCTCAGTTCCAAGACCACCATTTTCTTCTGGGGAGAAAACAACAAATTGCCAACTCTTTCCTGGCTATTTTCTTTCCTTTTACTTTTCGAAACAGACTTTAACATGGCCAGGTCCCAGACAAAAAAGAATGAATCCTCACAAATTATTAGTACTCTATCCTAGGAAAGCATGTCCTTGGTACTCCTGAGTACTGCATTATAACAAAACCATGAGCATGCACATTAAAACATAATATACTTCATTTTTTGCTCCAACTGGCTATCAATGAACAAAGGGCAAGATCTAAGAGCTTGGAGGGGGAATAAATTTCATCATCAAACCAGGGTTTCAAAAATGGTATTGATACAGGATCCAGAAACATAAGAAAAACAACACTTTACCTATATGGTATATGCTTGTGTGTTTGCAGATCTCTGTACTTTTTTGCAAGGCCATAGTCAATAATGTAGACCTGTGTTTCAGAGAGGGTGTAGCAAGAAAACAATCCGCGATAACTATTAGGGCATCCTAAGATATATGTTAAGTAATAAAACAAAACTGCATATGCATATCAGATATAAGATAGATTTTGACACCACTAAGACATTCAGTAACAGAGTGCAATATTGAATACTGACTTAGCAAGTCAACCCCATTTGAGGATTGTAAACTGACAAGTGCTGCTCAAATGGCAAAGGCCTCATTTTTTTCCTATTGCCAACGAACTTCAAATCTAAAACCTCTAAATTGCAAAGTTTTTCCACTGACATATTTACATTGTACCCTCAACTATGAACTAGTAAGCTCAAACCTTCGCAATATCTAACAATTCTATTTTAATTGAACATAAAAAGGAAAACGGAACATACCTGATTTGCTTTGCGCCCTAAACCCATCAAAAAGTTGTCAGGCTTGATGTCACGGTGAAGAAAACCCCGTGAGTGCATATACTCAACTCTATTTATCTACATTAAGGAATGCGAAAGAACACTGAGTACAGCAGCTACTAAAAAAGCATGTGTTCTTAACAATTGATATCCTAATAAAAATGGCAGGCCTTTCTTAAAAATGGGCATACTTACTAATTGATCTGCAAGCATCAACACCGTTTTCAAAGATAACTTCCGATTGCAATAATTAAACAAGTCTTCAAGACTTGGTCCAAGAAGGTCAATAACCATGACATTGTAATCAACCTCAACACCAAACCATTTGAGATGAGGAATACCCGCTTCACAAGGATGAGGAAAAATAAATAAATAAATTGACTCTCACTCAAGCGAAGAAAAAAACATATCAGCTAACAATAAGGAAAAAAAAAGGAAAAAAGAAAGAAACTTACTTCCTCCTTGAAGTAGCATGTATAGTTTTGATTCATAATGAAGCTGGGGGTGCTTGGTTTTCACAGATTCCTGGGAATATCATAAGAATATGTATCAGCTACAAAATCAAAAGTGCAAATTGCACTATATTATAACATATATATAAAAAAGGACATAATACATGAATCTACTTGATTACATCCTCGGATTTAAATGAACAGAAAAGGTCAGAATTTCATATTAAAACATCCAGTCAAAATAACCTTAAAGCAGGCTTAATTCAACAGCAGGCTTTTTCCCTCAATATGGTACAACATGGAAAGTGCAACACTCAAGAACACAACGACTGCAAACTGGAAACTTTTTACAATTTGCTCACAGTAACAGTACATAATCAAATGAATAGAATTATTCTTCCACATACACACAAAAAGACCAAAAGCGTCGCTAGTTAGAAGCTTCCAATATCTAAAGTACAATATTTGATGTTTCCAACCAATGCAAATAGACCTCGGTCAAAAGCTAGTAGGACCAGGGTACAAGGAATCACCAGCCAAAAACAGAAAACTTAACGACTTTTTATTCAGGGATCCTTTTGTTTTAAGAACATAGTAGAGGGGAGCATTTAGCACTGCCACTGAGAGGATCATTTGGTAACATAAATATAATGAATTGATTGAGGAAAACATTAACTAGCTACTAGGACACCAAGAAGAAGTCCTCCACTTAGATAACCAAATTCACAATCCATCTTATGTAACTAACTATCTAAATTTCTCAAAACCAAAAGCATTTGGAGAAAAAAAAAGAAAAAGAAGAAGCAAATTCCCTATCATCAACTATAAATTGCTACTTCAAATAGATGGAAACAAACACGATCATCAGCCATCTAGTATATCAAAACATGACAGTAAACTACTATCCAGGAAAGCACGAATCAAGAAATAACAATCTATAAGAAAGAATTGCAGATAATTGCTAAAGATGTAAAACCTACCAACTTAACAGCCACTTCCTCTCCACTCTGTACATTAATACCTGCAAACAAACAAAGAACAACAAAAAAAATCAAAAACCCATCTAAAGACACAAAAGGAAAGAGTGATCAAAACACTTTGAATGCCACTAAATAAACCCTAAAAATTGCATACCTAAATAAAGTTCACCAAAGGACCCACTACCGATCTTCCGCCCAAGCTTAAACTTGCCACCAATCACATGATCCATGATCTAACAATCTCAATCAAATATTATTATCCACCAAACAAATAAAGGAAAGAAAAAGAAGAGCCCCCCCTTTCTTCTTTCAAGTTCGCAGTCAAAATTCACTAACTAAAGTGACCTAAGACTCTTCCTTGTCAAAAAAAAAAAAAACCAGATCACTGAAAGACCACTCTAAATGATTCAGTAAATGCCTCAAAATTGAAAAGCAAAATAAAAGAAAAGATATCTTTCGTAACCCAATCTACTTAGCAACCGACCAAACTAAGATGTTACTTAAAAATCCAAGAAAACCCCATTAATCAGCGAAGGGAAACTAGGATTCGCAAATCAAGAAACTGCATTATCTTGGGAAAGTGAAGAGAGAGGAAGTAGAGGGAGAGAGAGAGGAAGGTAAAGTTTTTGAAATAATTAACCGGAAAAAAAATAGACTTTGGAGAGAAAGAATAACAACAACAACAAAAACAACAATAATAAAGTAGGAGGGAGAGGGAGAGAGAAAGAGTATGGGGTGGCAACGATAAGTGCGGCAAGAATTTGGGGAATTTTAAAGATCTGGCCAAGACAAGGATTGTGTTTTCTCGAGAAAATTTGGAGATTCTGTGAAGAAAATAATACTTACCGAAAAAGTGATCTGGGAAAAGGTGGATGCTCTGTGTGCGTGCATACATGTATTTGATTATTGGCTTTTTTCCCTTTTTATAGTCCTTGTTTCCTCGCAGAAGGGGTAGTACCAATCTCTACCTACTTTATTTATTTTTTTTAATTTTGTTTTGTAGTAAAAAGGATAATGGGATTATTTTTGAAGGAGGGTCATCTTCTTGTTCAAAGCCTACCATGGGAAAAGAAAATGGTTCCTTTCTTTCTTTACCAGCAAAATAAAATAATTGAGTGAAGGTTTTTCTCTGCCATTTTTCTTCTCCCTTTCTTCATTTAATCTCAAAAATATTAATTTAAAATTAAAAAATAAATATAAAAAAAAAAGTTGAAAACACTGTTTAATAATTAATTATTTTATTTTAAATAAATTTTATGGCTGAACTAAAATGCCAAGTAAAATCTTAAGAATAAGGTGAGAAGAGTGTTTAATAACTAATTATTTTATTTTTAAAAAAATTATTTTTTCTTATGAAAAAATAGTGCTCTTGTCGATTTTTTTTTTTTTATTAAAAACATATATATTTTTACCGGTCTTTTTTTAAGTATTTTGTTAGCTCTAATTTGCTTTAAAAGCAAGCAAATTGCTTTGTTTTAAAATCAAAACAGGATGCTGGTGCCTTCCTAAATTTTTTTCAAGTAAACAATACGCAGGAGGCATGCAAAACTCTTCTCTATAAAATAAAATTAATAATGATTTCGATAATGAGCTTGTCCATATCCATATCGTCTACTCGTAAATAAAGACTGAAATAGTAATAAAAATTGATTTTTAATGTATTAAAATAGTTTTTAAAAAAGATTTTATTTTTTATGTTAATGTGTTAAACCAATTTAAAAATAAAAATAAAATTAAAACAAAAAATAATTAAAATTTCGTGAAATGTTAGCTGCTGCAGGTATAAAAAATAATTGTAAATATGGTTGGAGTTTATTTTTGAAAATAATTTTTATTGAGAAATGTATTAAAATAATATTTTTTATTTTAAAAAATTATTTTTAATATCAGTATATCAAAATAATTTAAAAAAAAATATTAATTAAAAAAAAAAAAAAACTATGTTAACGGATGCATGTCAAGATAGGCACGCTTTCATTGGTTTACCAAGAAACCACTTGCTGGTAAGTGAATAGACCCGAGCACACACGTGGTCCAGATTTGAACCCATTTTGCCTTCTTTCCACGCACCATTTCAGTCGTCCAGTCATCCCATACAAGGCACCTCTGTACACTTCATGTGTATTTATAATGTGTGGATGTTTTTTATAGAGTGATTTTTAAATTTTAATATAAAATAATATTTTTTATATTTTTTTATTTTAATGCATTAAAATTATTGAAAAATATCTTAAAAATACTATGTTTTTCCAGACAAAAATCACTTCAAGAAGCATTTTAAAAAACAAATTGAACTATATCATAAATCATTTTACTACTTGGTGTCGATTTCCAAAGTAGTTAGTGTCGTTATACAAAACAGAAGGAAATAAGTTAAACGGATGGTACCTGTTGCTAGCTTCACGTTACCGTATGTTACTATTAATTGCGCAAAGGAATAAGAAAAAATTATGAAAAAAATCAAGTGTTTTCTTCGACCCTTTTCATACCCCTCGAGACAATGTGTAAATATAAAATAACGTAATGATGTAGGATGCTTTCCCACCTTCCTTTTCACGGCATCCAAAGCTCTGATGGTTTATCCTGCCACAGCTCCCTCGCACCCTTTTCTCTCCTCCACAATTTTTTTTGCAAGGATGGCCAGGTGTTTTGCATCATCCTCAGCAGCCACCAGAATGCTTAACGATGGCCCTTCAGAATGCCAGCACAACCCCCCTAATAAAGAATAGCGTTATACTTTCAAGAAGCTCGGCAGCAAACACAGGAAAACATAAATTCATTTCCGTCAGATGTTCCTCACCGCCCAAATGGAAATGCATGATGCACCAAAATCTTGCAGTTGGTATAAAGCTGCCTTGCAAAGGAATGTCAGATGGGATTTACACATTATAAAAAGCCTAGGTCATTTCAGAGGGGACATGGCAACAAATATCACTTTTATCATTTTTTGTTCCGACAATCATCGGGGTCTTGCCAAAAAAAACAATCACGAGGGTCTTCTAAGAAAACTGGCATAAGCAACAAACATGAAAACCAAAAAGACATTGAAAAGTGGACGCTGATCATATTATAAGAAATTATAAATTCAGCAGCATAGACGCTCCAAGCTTAAACCATCCTTGAAACCATAAAACATGATTTTTACAAGTCTACAATCACAAATGATATCTTCAGTACTCATAACTGTCATCAAAAGGCCAATGTTCCTTCAGCCATACACAAGTTTAAGCATATCAATCAGTTAGCCACAGCTGACTCGGATCAAGCAGAACATGTCTCAATCATCTTCTCTTTCCGGGGGTAGACCACAAGGCAAAAGCATTTTCTGCACCAAGTTAAAAAAGAATCATTAGGTAATCATACTTAAGACATTTAGTAAGTATGGAAGAGAAAATCAGAACTTCTCTGAGATATCTTCACACAATCAAGATTTTAATGTACAGGACAAATACATTATCAGTCATTAAGCCATTTTCCAGTGATTGTCAAGATTTAACACATGGAGCAAGTCAGAGTTCAGACACCTATCCATCAGCAATTGAAATAACAATAAACTCTTGCATCGTATACTTTCTAGAACTTCTAGAATAGCTTATATGTAATGCAATCTTCCAGCATACCCCCTGCATTTTCAAATTGCTCATTCAAATTGCACAACTTTAGTTGCACACTTTCGACTGTGGATCTTAAGATCATCATGCATAAATAACTGGGATATAAAAAAGTAATTTGGACCAAGTAAAGTCCAACTATTAAAACGGTAGCCTGAGCTCATCATAGTTTAAGTAAAGTCATAGTGTATAAAAAACTAATCTTCCAAAAACGTGTTCCATAAAGGGATGGTTGCTATCATGTAAAACTCATACAGCTAACCAAATAAATGGGAGAAGGCTTTACAAGTTGACTTTGGTGAAGCAGTAAAACCTATAAAGTATGCATTCCTGATAACAGCACCTGACTCTGACAAAACATATGGCTTCCCTACTGCAGGATAATTGTCCCCATGCATTGCCAGGGATGTGATTATAGCACCAACATGACAGCACCTACTTCATAAAACTTTTCATCCCTTTGGTTTCATAAGACAACCAAAAAAAAAACAACTTTTTTTCTTAGGGGTCATTCGGTGTCATTTCCATTCCATGTTTGTAAAAAACAAATTTGGAAACATGAATAGAAAACTTGTTTGTTTTTGTTTTTAATTTTCAAAAACATAAAAAAACCACCAACCAATTGTCAGAATTTTTCAAAATCAAACAAAGCGGTTTTCAAAAATTGTGTTACGGATCGCTCATTTTGCTTTTTCTCAAAAAAAAAAAATCAAAACAAAATAGGTTCCAGTTTCCGTTTTCAAAAATTTGAAAATGAAAACCACAAATGATACTTAACTACCTCTTACAAACCCATTAAACGGAACACTCTTACTGGTGCAATGATCAGGTTTTATCACAAAAAAAGATAGCAAGAAATGGAAACTGCAACTTTGAACGAACATGAGCATCATCCCCAATATCCTCAAACACCAAATTACAAACCCATCAAACTCTAACCAATCCTCAATTATTTAAGTACTAAGTCAGTGATGTAACCAAATGGCAACTCAAAAAAAAAAAAAAAAGAAGAGCAATAAACATATAAAGTAAAGGAAGGAGATTAAAAGACGAACGAACCTGCATAAAATTATAACGCTCCCTTCCAATAGACTCATTTTCAGCTAAAGCAAAATAAGCAAGCATAGGGTAGTGACCGATATACGATGCATAGCTGTCACGTTGAATATTCACTGCCCACTCGCTGAATTAATTTACCAATCACAATCAATTTTTTTTGAAAAAGAAATTATATATATTAAACTGGGCTAATAAAGGGGGGGGAAACCCTCACAATCTGTTTAAATCAGCGTGGCCTGTTCCAACATATTTGGCCTGGAGATGCTCCAGCTGTGAATTGATGTTAAATCTATCACTGGCCTGCATCATCATCATCGTTAATATTGAAGAAATTAGGGTTTTGAGAAAACAAGGAGAGGGAATTGAAGAAATGATTGACTTACCTGCATCTTCGATTACAACGATACGCAACCACGATGTCTAATAATTGCTAACAAAGCACACTACCAACGGAGGATTGAGTCGTTGTCTTCGTCTTTCTTTGCAGGCACATACGAAAAGGGGGGCGTAGTAGGCTAGATGTCCCCGCTTTATCTCTCGTTCCCTACAGTTTTACCATACGCTGCTGTAAGTTCTTTTCTAGTAATCTGCTCACGAAAAGGTATCGAGTTGATCAGAACAGTCCCTGTAGTTTAGTAAAAATAACTAAGTAGTCATCATGGTTTCAACAAGTGTTATTTAATCCCTCTGTTTTTACTTTCATTTATAGATTAATATTTTTCATCAGTTCATGCTTATTACCCAAAAAAAGAAAAAACTAGAAGAGTAAAAGAAGCACGCTGATGAATTGGAAAGTTTGACGAGTTAAAGATATCAATTTTTAGAAGATAACATTAGCATGGCCTGCATTGATCAAAGCTGTTAAATTATTATTGATATTATAAAAATTAATTATTTTGTTTCGAGAAACCACAGGGACTAAATTATAATTAAAAGTTCGTGATTTGGTTTATGGCAGAAGATAGCATCCTCACATGGATTACAAGATTGAGAGGCTTCAAAATTGCAATGCTCAGAACCCTAACCTAGAAGTTACATCCAAGAGGGAGGGAGGGAGGGGAAATCTCTTGTTTCTGCATTTTTCACAGGAATAAATGATACATCTTAATCAACTCAGCAATGAGAAAAACCCACAATAGTGATCTGGTATAGCAGATTTCTGACAAAAGGGGTAAAATAAATACACAACGATTTCAAAAGAATATTTACTATGGGACGATTTTACAAGGATTAACAACCTAACTAAGAGGAGCCAATTAGTAAACTCA